ACAACTATTAGACATTCGCAAGATATTTGAAATATCAATTGATTTTACTATTTCTCATACACTTTCACCGTAGACTGCAAATATATGTTTGGACGTTCCTCGAGTTTCAAATTTCCCCCATCTAATTTCATGTTTCGAAAACCCGAAAAGTGATTAGTGTTGCCAATCGACGGATGCAAATGTTACATGTCGTAATTACTTAGAACAAGTCTATTACAAGTGCATTAGTCACGAAGAGGATTAATGACGTCTTACAGCGCGAAACTTTAGAAGCTGCTTTTAACGTTTGATGTCGGGTGAAGAGCGGTAATGTCATCAATGTTATGCATTACTTAAGTATGTTCGTTAAGCTCAGGCGCGTAAAATTAAGATCCGTGTAGTGAATTATTTTCTATTCTCAAAATCGATTGAAGGCCATCAAGTTTCGGTTAAATTTGGTAAATTTTTCACGGATATTTATGTAAGTCGCACTGAGTGACGTGTGACATTTTAGACAATAAATAAATGAATAAATAATACAAGCAAGTTATTTCTTTTAGCAAATCGGGAGATTTTGCATTTTCTTGATTATCCGATGAAAGCCATATGTTTAATTAATTGTATACACTCTCAAAATTTTTCTATAATGTACCATAATATCGTTTGATTTCTTGCAACTTCAATAAGATGTTAATTTGAATCATGTTTTCATTCAAATTGATTCATACAGTGGTGTAATTAAGCTAAATATTGTTTAATTTGCACTAGAAAACACTGAAATACAATGCTAACTGGAGTCACGACTTCTTTTCAAGCAGCACTCAGTTGCGCTGCCGTTGAGCAAAGGAATAAATTTTCGACGACTATATAAATACATCAAAATGTTTATGTGTACGTATGTGTATCAAAGAGAAATATAAAAAGAGTTTCTACTCCAATGCTACAGCATATAAGAGGACGACATATTTTTTTTTTCTATCAATGCATGCCAAAAGGGCAACACTTTGGCACTCTTAAGTTTTCAGCGCCATGCTGCGGCAAAAAGCGTAACTACTGGTCAGCTAGATTAGTATATCCCTTTTTTTATTATTTTTAATTGGATTTATGATGTCCTTTGTAGTTTAATTTTAGTTCTATAAATGCTTTGATGTTTTTTTTTTTAGGATATCATGTGTTTTTGACGACAAAATCATATTTTGTTGATTTTAATTATGATTTATTTTAAATATTTTAATCTAATAAATGATTTTTCTTGTACTTATATTTATTTTAATTTCAAATTTAATGCGTATTACTATCGAATGAATGCGAAATTAATAAAATTTTATATTTTTTGATGTCAAATTATATATTTTTTAATACGTTAAGTATTAAAAAAAATACTTAACGTATTTTAACTTATATAAATGTGTGGTCATAATTTTTTTTATTTAAATTTTGCACAGTTTAGGATTTATTTAAATTAAACATAAACAAACCAAAGAATCATTCAGGTATCATTAGATCTAGAGAACTGGTTTCTTCGAGCTTATAAATGTAGTTTATCTGAAGTATCTGAAAAAACAGGTATTTTTGACATAACTATCCATATAAGTAATGACATATTTTAAGTTATATATTTTAATAGTGAAGTGGCAAATGAACTTTTGTCGATTTCTTACCAAGCTTTTTAAGAACAATGATACTATGAAAGTTTGAAATATTTTTAATGAAATAATATGAAAATAATTTAATAATAATATGAATTTTAGCTGTAGGCTATAATTGAATCATGTGCTGCCTTTTATTACCTCAACAAAGGTAAGACACCGAAAGAAGATGGAATGAAACTTCCTTTTTTAAAACGCGAGCGCAAATATTTGCACTAGGATTCTTTATAAGCCTTGAACCAATAATATCTTTGATTTGTGCTTCAGTAACTTATTTGATTATGCATTGTCACAAATTTTTCTCTAGACCATTCTGAGTTCAACAGCAATCCAAGTGAAGGTCAAATTAAAATATTTCCTTAAGGAATTCAAATTTCATTTATAATTATGAATCCATTCCATGGACATTGATAATAAGATCACTAAAAAAATATATTTTTGAACTTGAAATAATAATGAAGAAGGGCAGTTAATAGGATTTCTGATTATTCAGAAGATTATAGACAATCTGAATTCCAAAGCAATTGCATACAATATGTTAGAAGGTAATATATGGAAGGTATGATTTTTAAAGTACATATTTTGCCAATCGTATATGAATATGATATGAAAGCAAGTTTTATTATGGCATAGTATTTAAAAGAAAATTGAGCTCTAACTTTCATTTTAAGATAAATTAAAGTTAAGTTCTGCTATGTATTTTAACTTATTTTGGAAGTTAAAAATGATCTTATATTAATCACAAATCAACAAAAACATAAATATGTTTAACATTAACTTTAAAATGTAGGTGAAGATAAAAGAATTTTTATCTTATGAAGGAGTTCACATTTATCATTCAATTGAAAATAAATTTGAAAATTTGAATTGGAAGTGTTGCATCAATCTCAAATGACCAGTAAAGTTGTAGATAAGTATACCAAAATATGTATAAAAACACTCGCTAACTCTTTGAATTTTTAATCAGTGTTGAAAACTGTTCTTCTGAAAATTATAAGATTATTAAATTTATTTTATTTACCAATCAAAGTATTTTTGCGCATGATAATATTTAGTCTTGTTTAATTTTAATTTTTAACAAACCGGTTCTTTAAACGGGATTATAAAAAAAATGATAAACAACTGTTCAACGAAAAATATTTCCTGTGCAATAAAAATTCTGGATGCTTTAATGGTGGATATTATTGCAAAATATTGTTTCGACAATATCATTTAACTGTTTAATTAAATTATATGAGAAAAAAACATAGATTAATAATAATAGTGGGAGTTGGTTGCTTTCTTCTCATCCACTATGACATCCAGCAAGTGTCATAAACATATTTTATTCTATCTTTTGATACTCTATAACGGGAGGTGACATTGGTTAATGCGATGTCTTTTTTACTAATTCTCTCGTTTCGAAGACTTCTTTCGAAGACTTGAAGACCACTATAAATATTGAATACCATTTCACTAGTATATACGACATGTTAACTTGAATCCATCTTGAGGTACCTTTTGATAGATGATGGCTGACATTTTAAATAAATAAATAAATCCCTTCATTGGTGACCCGGACGTGATAAGAACTTGCCAACATTGATGGATGGTCCACATTAAAGGGTTGATTTGCTTAAAAATATATTACTCAAAGAAAAGAAAAAATCAGGGGAAGTAAATAAAATCTCCCGGTCAATAAACAAAAATGAAGAATAAAAACCATAAATTAGCGAAATGCTACAAAAACAAGAAGGAAAAAAATAATGAGCGAAATGCTATGAAGAAAAGATATAACAAGCAAAATTTATATAAATAAATAAACAGCATGAATCAACTAGTGGTAATCGTTCATCGAACTCTATCACAGATAAAATTCTGGAAGGGGAGTAATGTGGCGTAACTACCACTATAAATATTGAATACCAATTCACCAGTATATACGACATGTTAACTTGAATCCATCTTGAGGTACCTTTTGATAGATGATGGCTGACATTTTAAATAAATAAATAAATCCCTTCATTGGTGACCCGGACGTGATAAGAACTTGTCAACATTGATGGATGGTCCACATTAAACGGTTGATTTGCTTAAAAATATATTACTCAAAGAAAAGAAAAAATCAGGGGAAGTAAATAAAATCTCCCGGTCAATAAACAAAAATGAAGAATAAAAACCATACATTAGCGAAATGCTACAAAAACAAGAAGGAAAAAAATAATGAGCGAAATGCTATGAAGGAAAGATATAATGTGCAAAATTTATATAAATAAATAAGCAGCATGAATCAACTAGTGGTAATCGTCCATCGAATCACAGATAAAATTCTGGAAGGGGAGTAATGTGGCATAACTATCACTATAAATATTGAATACCAATTCACTAGTGTATAAGATATGTTAACTTGAATCCATCTTGAGGTACCTTTTGATAGATGATGGTTGACAAAGTCGATAAATAAATAAATCCCTTCATTGGTGACCCGGACGTGATAAGAACTTGTTAACATTGGATTGTCCACATTAAACAGTTGATTTGCTTAAAAATATACTGATCAAAGGAGAGAAAAAATCCGGTGAAGTAAATAAAATCTCCCGGTCAATAAACAGAAATGAGGAGGAAAAAAATAATAAATTATCGAAATGCTATAAGAAAAGAAGGAAAAAAATAATGAGCGAAATGCTATGAGGAAAAAATATAACGAGCAAAATTTGTATAAATAAATAAACAGCATGAATCAACTATTGGTAATCGTCCATCGAATCACAGATAGAATTCTGGAAGGGGAGTAATGTGGCGTAACTACCACTATAAATATTGAATAACAATTCACTAGTGTATAAGATATGTTAACTTGAATTCATCTTGAGGTACCTTTTGATAGATGATGGTTGACATAGTCGACAAATAAATAAATCCCTTCAGACTTAGTGTGACAGACATTTACAATTATTTTCTATCATAAATATAATAATGATTTACAGGAAAATATCTGCACCTTGAATAACGGTATTTTTTTTAACGTAAACGCTCGGAGATTTCCTTACAATATATCGTTCTTTTTGATACAGGAAATATATTTTTATTTTTAACAATGTAATATATAAGGTAAGACATAAATATTTTTTCTTACTAATAAATACTGATTCATTTAAAAATCATACCCAACAAAAACTACATTAGAAACACTTTCTACCTTTTCAAAATATTATTTCTCACATGGGGAATTATTTTTACGCAGTACAAGTTTTAAGACTTCATATATATCCGCCATTCATTTTTAAATCCGCAAAAGTAGGTTTTCAGTTATATAAAAGAGGCTTTTAAGTCACATAAAAATAAAATTGCTAATATAAGGAGAAGTATGAAAACTGTCAAAAATAATTTTACCTGATACTGTAAGAACTGTAAAAGATCTGTCTTCTCCAGCTGTATTATTTACAGAACACACATAGCGGCCACTATCTTGTACACTCACAAATTGCAGTATCAAAGAACCATCAAGTTGAGTTATGCGGTGATTTGATATCAAATGACTTAGCCGGCCATCTTCTTCCTTGTACCATCTGTTAAAATTTTAAATCGAAAGAAGCAATAGTTTATTTTATTTTCGGGAAATATGTAATGCGAAATTTAATATTTTATATGAATAAGATGAAAATAAAAGTGATCTGAGAAATACTTCATGATTATTACAGTGACTAATGCATATAATATGACGAATCTTTTTCCTTTATGCTTCGGTGTTGTTATGTCTGGCTGTTATTCTGATATGTCAATATAACTGAATAAAGCAATAATATTTTGAGTGTATAAACACACAAAAAAATTATTATCCTCTAAATGATATTTTTAAAAAAAATATTTTTATCATTTCTGAACTGAAAAAAATGTGCTCCATTTTTGAATATATTTTATTTAGTTTGAAGAAAAGCCTCCAAAGTCTCCATTTGTTTTCAGAATTTTTTGCTATTTGTGTTTGAAACAAATTTAAAACTTCTGAAGTCAAATCTGCATATTGTTTTGTTTTACTATTTTAAATATAAAAAATATCTACTTCTTTAAATAATGTATAGTTTAATATACAGTATAAGAATACATAGTATAATATCGGGACATACTATTTTGAAATTGAAAAAAAAAATCATTCGAAAAACATTATTCAAATTTTAAGCACCACTTAAAGTTCAACATGGTGTAAATGATGTCAAGGGAAGTCATGAATCATTTTCTTGAAAAGAAGTATCATAATTTTTTCACCATTTAAAGAGGATTATTAACAGATTTTTTTAGATAAAAATAATAAACATCCACAACTGTTTGACTTAGGGCACTTTTAAGACATATGATTGGTTTTTTAATTAAAATGGTCTTTGCAATTTTTATTTAAATTAGAAGTGGAATGTTTTCAAAATACACACTAAAAATTTCCGAATTATGAATTCTCCTTCAAATTACGTTAATTTTTAAAGTAAATTTCAGCTATTTTTTATCAAAATTAAGCTATTATTCTTTATACAATCTTTAACGTCGTGGAACTTGAGAAAAACTCTTAAGTGTAATTTTGCAATATCTAATGTTATCAACGAACAATAAGAACAAAAATTGGCAAAATGGAGTGATCTAATAAAGATTGGAACGATGTCAGGGTCCAGCATACCCGCAATCATAAATGTTTCATTAACGCTTAAAAAAATTAATAATTTAATCTCATAATAAAACATAGCATAGTTTCATTTTTCCCTCTTAAATATTTAAATAATTCAGTTTTAAAATTTTAGACTGTTATGGTAAAATATGAAAGAAATTTTTAGTGGTCAAATTAGGGTTGCAAACTAATTTTTCTTTATATTTTAAAGTATTTTTTTTTCTTTCTCTTTAATTTCTTTATTAACTAGCTCAGTTTACCGAATACATTTAAAAAAAAGATAACTCAGATTAGAGTAAGTGCCACACTTTTTAAACTATTTATTAAAAACTTTCTTTTGAATTTTTATGCTGTATTATGGTGCACAGAAAATAACCAGAAATAATTTTGATTTTAAAATCGGATTCTTAGATACTGGGTTCCGACTTTAATCCTAACCGAGGACCTAACCTTAAATATGTTAATTAATTTGTAAAAATGATATTTTTAAGTTACGAAATAAGATACAAAAGCTCATTTTCGTTGAATAAGCATACTTTTTCACAACAGATTCAACCCTTCTCAACCTTATTCTCAACCCTTAATATACGGGAGGGGGTTGTCGCAATCTGTAGAACTTTGCCTAAATAGTTTGACCAGGAGAGCGGAGGAGAGTTTGAAACCATTAATGTTTACTTCCCTTTTTTTCCTAACTCAGAAACTGAATGTAAGCTTTTTGAGAGAAAAAAACGCTTTGGCGTCTTATTTTGTGTTTTAAAATATCGTCTCGCAATGCAATTAGCATATTAAAGGTTAGGATAAAAAACCATTTAGTCTTAGTACGTGAAAATCAGATCATTAGAACAAACATCATTCAGGGTGTTTACTTGATGCTGTGAAGCAAAAAATGCACGGAAATTTGTCCCAAATGTTATATAAGACATTTTGAAATTTTACGATTTTCCTACTGCTTGTTGTAACTGAAAAAGTTACACAAAAATAATAAAATTGGTCAATAAAATGTTTATATACTTTAAATTGATGTCAGTTCTTATAGGTGTTAGTGCATAATAAAATTTCAAACTTAATTTTTCATTATAATTTCACAATTGTTTCTTAAAAAGAATATGATTTTCTTGAGAATTTATTATCCAGTCCATTAAGTAAAATAAGTAATTAAGTAAAATAAGAATTAGTCCATTAAGTAAAATAAGTAATATATATGTATTCCAAATTTCATGCAGTTATTGTTTATCAATAAAAATGCGTTAAAAACGAAAATATTCCTCTTAACATTTTTCTTTATATTTAACCAGTTTACTTTTAACCACTTTATGAATAGACTGGTTAAAATATTTTTTGAAACATTTTAACTCCTTAATACATTTTTGTTAGTTTTGTTCTCTAGAAATATATTCAAATTTGCAATTTTTAAAAGCAAATGTAACTTTTAAAATTCAGTCTATTTTATATTTACCGATACGCTGGTGGTGGGAATGCAGTTGCTGCGCACGCCAACTCTATAGTTTCACCTTCTTTGGCGGATGCAATCGGTCTGAAGTCAATAATTTTAGGTGATGAAGTTCCATGAGGTTCTACCAAGACAAACAAAGAATCATTTATTTATTAATAGGTTCCAATTTCAAATGTTGATTTTTGAATCTCATTAAAAAGATAAGTTAGCAAACATTTTTTTTGAAAAAAAAAATCAAGATTTTTATCTTTCTCGATTTTTAAAGACATAATATAAAAGAAGAAGAAATTGAGGTAAATTATTCCAATAATATTTAGATATAGAATTTTTGTAACTAGGGATTTGATTTAATGAATTAAAGAAAATGAGGTAAAGTACAAAAAATAGTAAAGCAAATTCTATTATTCGACCAAAGAAAGAATAATGTACTTAAATAATTAATGCAATTTTAAAATTCAATGACTGTATAACTCAACTCTTAGCAGTCTTTTCTTTGGAGATTAAGTTATTACAAACTTGGGAATAATATTTTTAGGGGTGGTTTTATAATTCCTATATATTTAAGAGATTATTGAAGTGTAACATTACGGTTCGGAATCCTTTCGCGTATATGAATGTATCTCAGCATTAATAACTGAGTACGTAGCTCAGTTACGTTCTGCACTAACTGAGCATTCTTAGATTGCCCTGAAGTAATTGAATATGTACAAGCTAGAAGATTTTGCTTACAAATATGCGCACTTTCTTCAATTTTTGTGTGACTGAACGTGAGAAAAAGTGAAATCATATTATTTTTTTCCAATGCCAGCCTGGGGAATTCATACAGGCACCTGAAGGGCCACTTTACCACCGGTACCATATTTGTTGGACCAACGTTGCTCACACAGTAAAGACAGATAGTACAGAGAATGATAGAACATTCATGCCTTTCCCGGGATTCAAACCCAGAACATTTCTGATGCAAAGTCAGTTCCTTGACCCCCACACAGGCCAGTCGGTGAAATCGTATGTATTAAATCTTTCTTATTTATGTAACATTTTTCTTCCCAATAAAATCAGAAAACAAGATTTGTAAAACTCAGAAATCTTCATGTTATCAACTATTTAACGTTTATTGTCAACTGTGAGGAAATTCAAATAAACAACATTCTTCCTGTATTTCTATTACAATTGATCTGTATTTGAAGACAGTTTATTTTTGGAATAAAAAGTATTTTGTGAAAGTAGTTCAACTTTCTAAATCATATTTTAAATACTGTTACGTTATATTACATATTCCGCATAATCTTCACAATCAATAAATGTTTGTAAATACGATGACATTTTTGAAAACATTAAAAAAGTATAGATATTACTGAATTGATAGGATTTTCAAAACAGAAAAATATTTTAAGCCTTTAAAAATTAACTGTTAAACTGTTTTTAAATAGTCGCTAATATAGTTAAACATCTTCATAAACTTTGAAAATGAAATGATTGTCTAGTTTGAATTTTATCAAAAACTAACGGAAATGAATGACTTCAGCAATTTCGCGGAATTTTTAAGAATAAGCATATAACTTTCTAAGGCGTGCTATATCATCTAACAAAAGAGGCTTTTGAAAAACAGCCTTAAATTAATATACCAAATGTCAAAACAGTCATAGTTTATTAAACTTACATTCCATGTTAATGTGCTAAAAATGCAAATATCGTTGATAATATACGTGTTTAAAGAATCAAAAATTATGCCCAACCTGTAACAAAGAGACTTCCAGATGAAGCGCTGGCAACTATATCTCCCGTCAAACGATGTCGTGTCTGGCAACTATAACTTTTCTGTCCGTCTGCCTGCGTCACTCCTCGAATATAAAGCTCGCCAGTTGGTAATATGCTGTAACGACCACCTAGAAGTAAAGTCATTCATCAAAGCATGTGGTTCTTTGAAAGTTATATGGTTATTTTTAAATTACAATATGGTTAAGTAATGGAAATTAATCCTATAGTTTATTTTTCGTTATTTTATCAAAGTTTCGAACGATTTAGTTAGAATTGACTAAAGCTTCAAAGTCACCTTTAGTTTTTTTTTTTCGTTAAATATATTTTGTATTTTCTCCCTAAACATAATTGTATTCCCCTAATATATTTTGTTTTTCTTCCTAAATATATTTTGTATTCTCCTGAATACATTTTGTGCTATTTTTTCACATTATAAAAGGGAACTTATTATGGTTGGTTGGTTGGTGTCGTATCCTCTATTGAATCATATTTCATGGTGTGCTTGAATAGTTTTTGTTATTTCTATGGCATGGGAACTTATTATGAAAAAGCGAAATGAAAAAGATGATGTTTACTTAAAATTCTATGATTTATTTAATTTCTAGAGGAAGTATCCGAAATGAATTTTATTACATCATTGATGATTGATAATTCGATGCACTGCGAAGAATGAATCTCCAAATATCAAGAAACTTCTTCGTTTTTTGCTAAAAAGTTTTCTGGTAAATGTCCCGACTAAAAATTTCTTAAATGTGATGAAATAGCTATCGTTGTTCCTTCAAGGAAACAAATTTCGTCAAAAAATGAATCTAACTTCTCTGATAATCACTTTATCTTAGGCACAATGTGGGTAGCACAACACAACGAAAAAAGATAGATCAGAGAGATAAGTTACACCCATGCCCGAAGAGGGATTCGAACTCCGGATCTTCCCAGTATGAGGCCAACAGGATGGTCAGCTTACTTGGTCACTATATTTTCGATAGTCTGGTCTTTAGTCTCGCACAATACGATTATCTAGTCTTTGATTCGATTGGCCAGTCTTTATTCTTCCACAATGCATATAGATTAGGTTTTGAGTTAAAGAAATATTTTCGTCATATATTTGGGAGATTGCGTTTTGTCCCGAATCACGTGACGAAATAATTCTCAAAGTTAACGAAGTAGTGCTCAAGGATTGCTGAATCGTCAAAAGTGAGAGTTTTAAATCTCAAAGAGCATTTTTTGATTTTTTATTGGTGTAATTAATGCGTTTCATAGAATGTAATTGAAATTAGATTTGAGATAATTTTTTTTGTTTTATTATAAATAATAAACATACAAACTTAATCTGATTTTATATGTAATTAAACTTTGTTAAAATATTATTATGAGTAATATACAAGAAACAGTAATGAGATTTACGAGCTATATAGAGAGGAAGGTATTATTAACCATATTAAAGTAAACCGCATCAGATTTTTTGTGCACTATCAAATATATTCCTATAATTTTTAACCGAGTCTATAATTCCAATACGTATGAAACCAGAGGCAGGCCCTGATTTATGTGTGTTGACTGTATTTAAGTTCACTTAAAAGCATTGAGATCGAACAACTTGAACACCCAGATGAGGTAGAGAGCAGAATGGAAAAACGATTTGACGAAGGCCGTGACCCACCTACTCGTAAGAAAGAACCAAAAAGACCGACCACTCGAAAGAGAAGAAAAGTAATAAAGATTTTTGTTTCTAGTCATTGAGATCGAACAACTTGAACACCCAGATGAGGTAGAGAGCAGAATGGAAAAACGATTTGACGAAGACCGTGACCCACCTACTCGTAAGAAAGAACCAAAAAGACCGTCCACTCGAAAGAGAAGAAAAGTAATAAAGATTTTTGTTTCTAGTTAACTTGAACTTACTCAAACGCATGTATAGATTGACTGAACTGACCAATGGCAACAAACGTGATAGATGAAAGATTATGTAAGTTATAAAATCTCCACATCGTACTCATCAAAAATGAATTTGTCAGTAAAATTCTCTAAGAAAAGAAAATGTGGCGCCAGTGGTTGAATTTCTAATAAAGATTTACTCCAACTAAATTTGAAATACAAAAGTGCTTGCTAAGGTATTAAAACTTCTAATAGTAATAGTTTTTTATCAATAATAGTTTTTAGTTAAACTTTCACTCGGTTTTCTCTTTAATTTGTTGTTTTCTTATGGGTTACTTTTGTTTTTTTTTAGCTGTTTTCAGCAAGCATCACCGCAATTTCCAGGGTGGATAGTTTTTATCTATTTTTTTATCTGACTTTAGTTATTCTTTCCCATACTGTTTTTGGCATTTTTTTAAATTAAATTTAGTTTCATTCCGACTGTTGAATACAAATACCTGAAACTGTTATGACAGTATCAAGTATTGATCCCCAGATGATCCTTAGTTTCATTGCAAATACATACTTGAAGCAAAACATCTTTTTTATTTTTACATTATAAAATCTCAGAACTCATTCTGTACAAAAATACAATATTTTTAAGTATTTGATAAAAATTCTTGCTCATAAAAAATATCTAACATAAGTTAATAGTTTTCCAATCATTCCTTTTGCCATTTTTATAAAAATCATTTCTTTTGTTAAAAGTATAACACACCGTAAAAAATAAAATATAATTTTGAATAACGTAAAGTAAAACATTATCTTACTTCACTTTATTTCAAATAAATGTCGTTTGATTTAATCAAGCTGAACAGTTTAGAAAACAACTCAGTATTATTGCTGAAATTATATTTAGATACAAGTAAACAAAATTACATATTGCCTCCAGATATATCTTATTAAATAAAACTTTTGCTTCAATTCTAGATTTTATCAAAGATTTCTTCGAAATTTTATTATTTGTCTTAATTTCAATGCACCTATTCAATTCTTCGAAACAATAGTAACCAATGATGTTTCTAAATTCTTTTTCCGATATTTTCTTCCGAAATAATAAGCTAGGAAAGAAGATTTAAATTATTGATTTCGGATTTCAAGAAAGACAAAATGCAGTCAGAAATAATTTTTATCGAACGCTGTAATGCGGAAAAAGTATGGAAATTATTCTTTATTTTTCTATCTGTTCGTATTGTTTTTCTTGATAAATATTATTTTGACTTTATTTTAGAAGCATTAAAATGATTTCAAAGTCAAATGTGGTATCCAAGTGTTTTTATAGACTTTCATAACCTATCATGTGGAAAATTAAAAGGAAAGTGAATGGTTAATATTAGAGATCTTTTTTTTTCTGGTGAAGGAAGAGTTAATAATTGAAGAAATAGTTATTGGAGCAATGGTATAACTGACCTTTAATGCAATATGTTTATATTATGAGATTTTTTGAAATAGCTTTTCATCATCAATCCCTTCATTTATTGTTATTTTATTTTTGCCTTGAAAACTCAATTTGGGATGCTTTGTTTCCAAGTGACTAATCAGAATGTTTTGCATGTTCAAAGAATGCATACAATCTTATATATAAAACAATCATTTTTAAAAGAAGATAATTATGAATAATTTTTAAGCGAAATACATATTTCAATCATTTTCTTTAAAATAAGTCCTACCATGTCTCAACGTCGTTATACTGAAAGTTTTTAAATAAATCTAACTACTTAAATAAATAATTGCCGATGCATTAAAGGAGAAACGTGGATTTTCGCCGATATATGAGCAATTCTACAAATACCAAGTAGGCGGCCAAAAAAAAATTTCTTCACTATTCTACATGAACTACATGGGGTACACTATTTCTACATGAACATTCTTCCTTTTTACACCCTAAAAAGGCAAGAAAAAATCGTGAACATGAAATTTTTTCTTTCTGACATACTTTAAATGTGGCATACTCTTTCTGACATACTCAGATAAATCTGAGCCTTTTATTCAAATTAAACGATTTTTACATAAACATAATATTATTATAATGTCTCTCTAAAATTTATTTATAGAGATTTCATACTATAAGATTATATTTTAGTATAAAAATTGGCATTTGTTTGTAGAATTGCTCATGTGAGTAATTCTACAAATAAATGCAAATTAGGCTGCCAAACAAAAATTATTTTTTTTTTGGGGGGGGGGCGCTATTTCTACATGAAATTTTTTCTTTGTAACATACTTTAAATGACAAAATACCAATTTTAAATTNAAAGACCTCTTTTTTGCGGATATAGTCGTGTGAGCTGATGACGAGATTATAACTTTTCTTTACTTTATTTTCCAGCCTTTTATTTATTTACTTTTTAATTTTTAAATATTTTTAAAAGTGATTTTATTTAATAATTTCTTCCTCTTCTCGTTGAAAATATATATTTTTTCCACGTTTCATTTGTAATTTTATACCTCCAACCGCTGAAACTGCTTCCTCTCTGACTGTATCGTAATGCCCCCCGCCTGCCTGACGAAGCTGCCACGTATGTCAGTGCCTCCACATTAATTTCGTTTCAGAGCTTTTCCTTTTTAGTTTTTAAGATGTTATTTCCTGTTTCCTGGATGTTATTTCGTGTTCGGATGTTTTTCGGATTTCTCCGTTGTTCTAATCCTCTCAGTTCTCTTATGAGGTAATAACTTATTTTGCTTTATTTTATCTGTAAACTTTTTCCTTCAAATATTCTCCCAGATTAGCAGCTTGTCGTTGTCACTTGGAAGTAGATATTATATACATTTCTCTTCATTTTTAAATATATATGAAACTTCAAAGCCTTAAAGGCGAAAACTTAGTTTAAATTAACGATATTTTAAATTTAATGCTGGTGAAATGAATGAGATTTTTTAATATATTAAGTATATCAGATTCATAATATTTATAAGAGTTACGGTTATAAGTTTTACACTACTAAGTCAAGTTGGAAACAGTTAATTTACCCAAGCATCAAAATAACTGGAGGGAAAACTTTATCGAACTAATTAACGAAACGAACGATTATTAACGATTATTTAACGAAATTTGTAGCACCAGAAATGATTGCAAAGTAATTGGAGGGAACAATCCTTTTCCAATTAGTTCAACAGAAATTTAGAATGAAATGAATTTGTAGAAATGTTCAGTTATTGAGAAAGCAAGACTCTTTGAAATTATATTTCAATTGGAAGGTGACAAATTATCTAACAATGGCAAATGTTATGAAAAGTATGAATAGAATTTGCGAGTGAAAACTTTTAATTTTGTTTCGACGAAATTTAAGAAATGTATTAGTTTTACATTTTAAAGTCTGATTTAATTATAAATCTCAACATTAGAAGGGGAATGTAAATCTCATTGAATGTAATAAAGCTGTTTATGTTTAAATATTTAATATATTGCTAATTCTAACTATCACTTTAACTATTTAGTTAATTTCAGTAACAGGTCTATTTCAATAACTATTTACATAGATGTAACTTTGCTTTGTATAATTGAACATTTATTTTAATATGCATGTGTATATGTATTAACAAAAATAATTTTAAATTTATACATAATGTCGTTGTTTATTATTCGTTATAAGAAAATTCGCAAATCTCAGCGACAATTTAAGAAATCTGAAAAAGATAGAAATGTAAAGTTTGCTGTTCGAAATTTAAAATAAGTCATGAAGTTTGTCAGAACATACTGCTGCGTACTGAAAAACAAAAAAAATACTTTTAGTTGCTTGTCAGAAAATTTCTAATGAAAATATTTGGGCGGAAGTTTCAAATCAACAACTCTCCCATGTTGCAGTTGCTTATGAGAGTTATTTTGAAAAATATTATAAATATAGTTTTATATTTTTTAACAGCATTGCCATCTTTTGACAAAATTTGTAACTAATGTTGAAATTTATTTGAACTAGTTTCCTACGCTGATGGAGAAAACAATTTTCTTGTATTTCCTTACTCCTTTTTGATATAAGTTATTGTACTGTAAGTCTTGTATGGGACAGCCGATAACCAGCAGGTCTCTTAAACAAATTATCCATAAAAATAAATAATAAAAAAAAACTGAAGAGGTAAGATGATTGAAATTTTTATTCACTTAAATGTGCAAATTGGAAATAGCAGTCGACACGATTCAATTCACTCAAAACCAGGCACTCATTTTCACGACTTGCTAGACGTGAATGAGAATAAAAAGTGTTTCGAAATATAGAACTCAAAATTTGCTGCAAAAAATCATTAGATATGGAATAAAGCAAGATTTCATGCATGCAAGATTCCAAGGTATAAAGAGAAGTTGAATTATAATACCACAATTTTTTAAAATTTATACACCACGTTTCATAAATTATAATAAATCGTACTTATTATTAAATATCGAGTGAAATATTGCACACACTGTTACGTTAGATATGTATTAAACATAATGGGATAAAACAAATTCTATGTGATTAGAAGTTGTTTAAGAGCGTTTTTCACTACGATAAGCATTTTTTTAAAATGCTTCTAAATTCAAGATGGTGAGTAAATTGCCTTAATGCCCTTCGGCAACGAGCATTGAGCACTGTTAAAGTTTCTTTGACTACAGCTTTGATTACGAAGCAGCCACTTAGTCACGAATTTTCCATATTCTTCAGCTTCACCCCTTTTCATCAATTAAATTCATGCTTACTGGAGTATATTGGTTATGTTGAGGTATAATACTTCATTTAAGGGTGTATTATCATTATCTTTGAAAAAAAATTAGCAACTATTCAAAGACAAATATTACTTTGGAAAAATTGAGATTCGCTATTTCGAACATAATGGTCTCTTAATCTATATGAACTTTTACAGGAATATTATATTGGATATAAATATATATTTTTACGAAGTTTGATACATTAATAATGTTGACTGATGTTTTTAGCTAATGAATTTATTAAATGGTAAAAATAAACTTAAATTTATTATTCTATAATATATAGGAAATATTTATATTTTTTAAAATTCATATGAGGTGTGTTTTGAAATATAATTGCATTTAAGAAAAATACATGTTAAAAAAAGTGCGAGGATGGAATAAAAATACTCATTCATGTAATAGCTCATCAAGAATAGAGAAATAAAACAAAGACAATATTTTTCCTTTTTTTTACTGTATTAGAAGAATAAAAAAAATTCATTTATTTATTTATAATGCGTAAAAAGTTCCTACATATTTTCTGTCTAATGTGTTTCTTTATATGCATTTATAATGCATACACATTAATACATGTTTAATACACAGCAAAGCTGCTCTTTGTTGCAGAATATATTCGTGTTTTATTTTGTTAGAAGAAGATGGAAATATTTGTTCGCGAAAAAATGGCTTTAGGTATAGTTTAGTTTAGATTATATGATTCCTTCTTGTTGTATGCCTAAAGTTTTTCCTACGTATATTTTATTTAATTATATTATGCTATATGCATTTCCGCAAATCAAAGCATAAATATAGTTTTACTGATCGCAAATTTGGAAAAAGTTTTATTCTTCACTGACAGTTCTATATCGCCCCTCCAATGCCTTAATGGTCTACGACAACAGCAACTAACAGTTCTATCATTTCAATCTCATACACGGTCAAAAATTTCGGTTTAAATCACGATATAAACTATCGTAACCAAGGGTGCATCATCCGTAAAATCCATTTTACCGTAAAGTACATTTTTCCTTAAAATTTAATATCGCAATTTTTGCAGTGATATTTTTTCAATTGGAGTGATTAAGTGATTTTACGGTAATTATTACTGTAAAACTTATGGTATAGCCGATTTTTTCTTAATATGTTCTGATAAAAATGAACTTTACAGTGCATGAAGTTAGCAATTTAGTAATTTAAGCCTAAATTGATATTAAACTGTCAATACCCTAAATCATTAGGTATCTTCATAATTGGTTTATTCCCATCACAGAGTTGGCTTTTGACCCTTTCGCTACCACCGGGACATGTATGTCCCGCAGACAGTTTCAAATAACTCTATGGGCTAAATATGCTTTGTATTATTGTGAATGCATGTCCCACTGGTATTCCTTGATATCACTGACAATTCAGTGTAATTTTCTCCCAATAGATGACAGTAAAACCCTTTCCCAATACATTTTTCCCTCTCAAAAATTCATTGCGCGGTATTTTGTCCTGTCTTGCCGCCATTTTGAGCACTGTGTGATGGAAGGAAAGGCNGTTTTTAGCTATTGAATTTATTAAATGGTAAAAATAAACTTAAATTTATTATTCTGTAATATATAGGAAATATTTATATTTTTTAAAATTCATATGAGGTGTGTTTTGAAATATAATTGCATTTAAGAAAAATACATGTTAAAAAAAGTGCGAGGATGGAATAAAAATACTCATTCATGTAATAGCTCATCAAGAATAGAGAAATAAAACAAAGACAATATTTTTCTTTTTTCTTTTTTACTGTGTTAGATGAATAAAAAAAATTCATTTATTTATTTATAATGCCTTAAAAGTTCCTACATATTTTCTGTCTAATGTGTTTCTTTATATGCATTTATAATGCATACACATTAATACATGTTTAATACACAGCAAAACTGCTCTTTGTTGCAGAATATATTCGTGTTTTATTTTGTTAGAAGTAGATGGAAATATTTGTTCTCGAAAAAATGCCTTTAGGTATTATTTAAGTTTGAATTATATGATTCCCTCTTGTTGCATGCCTAAAGTTTTTTCTACATATATTTTTATTTAATTATGCTATATGCATTTAGGCAAATCAAATCATAAATATAGTTTTACTGATCGCAAATTTGAAAAAAGTTTTATTTTTAACTGACAGTTCTATATCGCACCTCCAATGCCTTAATGGTCTACGACAACAGCAACTAACAGTTCTATCATTTTAATCTCATACACGGTAAAAAATTTCGGTTTAAATCACGATATAAACTATCGTAACCAAGGGTGCATCTTCCGTTAAATCCATTTCACCGTAAAATGCATTTTTTCCTTAAAATTTAATCTCGCAATTTTTACAGTTATGTTTATTTAATTGGAGTGATTAAGTGATTTTACGGTGATTATTACTGTAAAACTTATAGTATAACAGATTTTTTTCCTTAATATGTTCCGGTAAAAATGAACTTCACAGTGCATGAAATTAGTAATTTAATAATTTAAGCTTAAATTGATATTAAACTATCAATACCATAAATTATTAAATATCTTTATAATTGGTTTATTCCCATCATAGAGTTAGCTTTTAAAACTTAAATATATATGAGAAGTAAATAATATCTATATTCTATTTAGGATAAAAACATATTAATCATTGATTTTATCTAACACTAATTTCTTTTCTTAAAACAAATGAAAACATTTCTTAGCAGCTTAAAAATCACAAACCGCACACATCTGAGAACCTCACGAAAGAAACTAAAAAAAATAATAAACTTGGTGATGGCAGTGAAAAACAAGTTGGCTAAAAATATTTTCCGATAAGTTATCAATCTTTTAAGACTTTGTTGAAAGAAAAAAAATCTTCAGTGCGTCTTTTTTTAACAGTTTATCATTCCTTTTTATATATATATCTATCGAATATATATTTTGTTTTAGTCATTTTTTACTCGTTGTAGAATAGATTTGAAAAGAAAGAAATAGTTTTATAAGGAGAGTTTTAATGTTTTTTTTGTTGTTAAATATATTTGAAATAAAACTTGAGTTATTTACCTCTTGAGGCTGTGGAAGTTATTGCTGTTCCGTCATCTCTTTTCCACATGAATGTTATATAATCGTGAACAAAAGATGGGACTTGGCATCGTAGGACAGCAGTATTTCCACGCACAACAAATTCATCGTAGACTTGTACTTTGTATCGACGTTGTACAACTGAAATTGAAGAAACAAATACTAAATACGTTATAAATAAAGAAAAAACCAATAAAAAAAATAGTAATCTTAAAAAAATTTTATGACTGAAATGATTTTCGTTCCTACACTGTAAAAAATTCCGAAAAAGTTTCGGGGCATCACCTGTAAAATCCATATTTGCCGCAAAATATTATACCGTGATTTCATCAGGAATATTTATTTAGTAAAAGTGATTCAAAGGTTTTACGGTAATTATTTTTGGCAAAAATTAAAGTTAAGCAGCTTTTTGCTCCGTAATATGGTCTGGTAAAAATGGATTTTACTGTAAAAATTACTGGCACTCAGGGTGCCAGTAATTTTTACAGTAATTTGATCAGTAATTTTTCACAGTATAGAACAATTCGTTTTTGTTACTGGCAACTAGGGATTGGTATATTTTGAAACGATTATGCATAGTTTAACTCATAAAATCTGGATTGTTTATTGTTCAATCCAATTTTTGTTTTTCGATGCGTGTTCTAGCTAAATTTTCTGAAACCTAGTATATTGCATGCACATTTAAACTGTAAATTGCATTATCTGTCGGATTGTTTTCGGTTGGCGAAATGATTACAAATTATTTGTAGTGTTTTTGCTGGTTAAAAGAATATTTATAAAAAAAAATAAGAAAAGTCAAAATTTAATATTTAAATCTTATTTAAATAATTTTCTATCAAATTTTGCACCGTAATTTAATCTGTAATTTTTTAGTATACGTCATTGTTATAATTTAATGTTATGCATAAATATAATTATAAAAAAACTATTTTTACATTAAATTTTAACTTTTTGTAGTATAAATAGTATTTAATGATTTTTTTTAATATTAAATAATGCTTATTTTTGGTATTATTCCAATGCTGATAGCTGAATACCATATTTATGTACTATGTTTAGCTTACAATTTACTCTTGATTTAAAATTAGATTAATGCTAGATTTAACAGTAATAGTTATGCGTACTTTAAAAGCGAATTTAAATTAAATCACTAATGATTAGTCTCAGAAATTTAAATACGAAATATTGTAAAGTATTTATTCAACACTATAAATACTAAACAAAAGCTAACAACTTCAAATGCAATACTTGTGATTATTCTGGAGTTGAAATACCAAATATCTAGTATTTTTTTGCATTGTGTGTGAAAAAAGTCTTAAAGCAAAATAATGTAAGAACTGATTTTTTGTACTTTTCGTTCTATATAAATTTAAAGTATAACAGATTTAATTTTTTATATCATTGTACTTAAAGTGTTTTAATATAAAAACAATTAAGGCGAGTGTAACGATAAATACATTTTTATTGCATACTTTAAATAAAATATTAATTACATTTTGAATGAAAAAATAACAGTGAAGTTAAAGACAAATTCAGTTATATTTTAAAATTATATATTATGAAACTTTTATTACTGAAATGATTTTCGTTCTGATGTGAAATCTTTCTTAAATCAAAATAAATTAGAAGCTGAATTTTTTGACTTTTCTTGAAGTACGTCAGAATTAATTCGTTTTCATAATTATTCTTAAAGTATTAAAAGCATCTTAAAATATTTATATATTAAGGTAGTAGAAAGTATTTACATATTAGTTCACAAAAAATCAGTTTAGAATTATCCAATAAATTTTAAACCATGTTATAGTTCTACTAAATAAACTTTTGTTGATCATTAAGCGACAACTTGATTGTAATTTTCATCCAACCTCCAATTTTACAAGTATAGTGAAACATCAATATTTTTCTATTTATAACGATAACAATACTATAGAGCGGGAATAGCCTAGTCGGTAGGGCATTGGGTCCCTGTCCGTGAGTTCATGGGTTCGAACCCCGCCGCCGAAGACTCCCCGTGTAGTAAAGTGACTGACACACGTTAAATTTGTGGAGTCGCAAAAGTCCTCCATGTTCCCATAACAAATCAATACCTCTGGGGGTACTGGGTTGGAGATCGATCGTTCTCTGATGCAGGCCAAAATTACGATTTGAGGATGAATGAATGGATGTAAGAATGGGTTCGCCCCATGAGTGGGTGTGACGTATGGTGTGGCAGAAGTCGAATTCTTGGCCATAGATGGCGCCACTGGAAAACAAGAACAATCGCACCCCCTCTGCCTAAACAGGCATACGTTAACAACAACAACAATATTACAACATATTTTAACTATCGTGAATACGACAAATATCTACAAAAAAAATATAGACACAAAATAAGAAACAAAAAATGCCGCCAATCAATAAATATCGACACTTGATAAATAACTCAAAATACCGATGCTCGGGAAATACCGATTTTATCGTGATCCAAGGGTTGAAACTCACTTGCGTAAAAAAAGAGAGAAAAACTTATTCTCCGACAGTGTTTCACTTTCAAGGACATTGTCGACTGAGCCTCTGAGATTCGCTTTGCTTGGCGGAATAATAAGCATATTAGCGGATTTTTCTGCTCCAAAATATTCGGAAAAAGAATATGTAATAAGTTGTTTCTATATTATTCTTCAAAAATAAATGGACGAAAAAAACCCAGATAGTATAGTTTTTTTCTGAAAGTTCCACTCTCCCTTAAAAAATAAATTAAAAAAACATTCGTAGTAAACTAACATGAAATTAATACTGTATACTTAAATCAGAAATGTCTAAAATGCATATAAATCAGTAATGCATAAACTATCATTGCATATTTATTCTAAACAATGCTCAATATTCGGAATTCAAGTATCATAAGAAATCGAATAAAGGAAAATTCCCATTATAATTGTTCTATAAAGAGTGATAATTGAAAGTTATTTTTTTAGAATTCTTCTTGAATTTTTCTAAATTACGAATTTTTTGTTTATTATTTAAAATAAATGCTTCTATGCATTTTAAAAATAAACTAAGGGATTTAACAACGTCATTTCGAATTATGTTACTTAAATATTCAATTTTCAGTCCAAACAAAGTATATTGTTTTATCACAAAACAATGCAAGTCGTTCAATAGCTACAAACAGGTGAAAATATAAATATTATTGTAGTTCAATATTTTTGGCCATAATAAAAACTAATATTTACTATAAAATATTATTTTCTCATTTTTCGAACCTGGAACAATAGATATTTTTTAAGTTTTGTGACATTTAAATAGCAAGACAAACTCCAATACAAGTGATCTCAAAGCTCATTATTTATAATACAGCTGTACAAAATTTTTCACTCCAAAGATTTTTTAAGTTCAATAAATAGTGATTGGGGAGGAATAATACAATGTCTTTTTATTTCATTTCAGAATAAAACCATAAATGCTTTTACATATTATTTTTTAATTTCTTTTTTAAGTATCACTTCTTGAAAAAGCGTTTTTCAAATAACATTCTCTAAAAACGATATAACATTTTTAAATTATTCAATTTTGCATCGCCATTGTATTACTAAATTTTGCTGCTTTTTTTGTTTTAAACAGCGTTCATTTAAAATTTTTAACTATAAAAAACAACAGAAAACGTTGGTAAGATATCATAAAAATTTCTTCTTGGTAAGATATCATTATTGATTATTATATTTTTCAAATTGTATTTTTCTCTCGTTAACCTAGAGTTAGATCAGCAATCGAGATTAACTGGAAAAAATAATCGTTTTTTATCTCGTACTTTATAAGCTGTTAAACTTTCCTAATTGCACTGTTATTTTTTAATTATTATTATTAAAAATGGTTAAGAAAAACTTGTCTATTGTTTCATTTTTGCAAGAAAACGATATCAGACATGAAAATATAAGAATAGTAATATATATATATATTTTGTGATTATATAGCACGGTATTAAAAATTCTGGTTTAATCCTTAACTAATCTACACTTAAATCATCTTTGTACGAGATTGAAACTCATAAAATATTTTTATCGTACTTAAAAAAAACAACTTTTGATTTGCGTATTAATTTAATATAACGCCAATTCAATGAAACTATGTTACTTTAAGTTATAAAATATTGACGCGAAATCTCTATAAAATATATATGCACATAAAAATACAGTTTAATTCGCGAGTAAAACTTGGGTTATTATCCTTTTTAGAAAAATCTCTTTTGCGCTTACTTGTAATTTTTATTCGTTTTATTAATATTTTGTAATTAAACGTTAAACAAGAAGTTGTCAGATGATGTTATTCATTTTTCTTCATTTTTTCATTTTTCTTCATTCATTTTTTTCTTCAAATTCAAATTTTTTTCAAAATTTTTAATCTGGTTTTTTTTTCCATGTTTTCTTACCCAATTATTTTTTTCATGATGTTTCAACTAAAAAGTAATTGAGTTATTGATATTTCTTATTTCAAGGAATTTTCCCCCCGTTTTTGAGAAAGATTCAAATTAGATGGGCAATCCCGCACTTTTTTTGCTCGCTCTAATATGATTTTTTTTAACCAATTTTTATGACAATTTATTATTTGTTATTTCTACCATTTATACTGCTGATAAAAATTCCAGAATGCACAAAAGTAAAATATTTTAATCAAATTTAACGTACTCAAATTATGCTCGTAATTATTCTAAAAAGAAATTACCAAGAAATTTTTCTCGCCCTGCTGGCTTGTAAGACTGTAGGACGCAGGGCCTAATAGAGAGACTTTACTTAACCTAAAATCTTTTTTGAATGTATTAAACAAGAATGTACCTTTACACTCTTAGAAATTTATGATGATGTAGTTTTTAAGTTATAATTAAATTATCAAACGATATCACCCTCGGTGTTGTTTTTATATTCTTTTGTAAACATTTATATTTATTATTTTTGAATGCCCACAGACTGAAGGGGATTTCTTTTAAATATATATAATCATATGATAGAAGAATAAAAAAGGTTTAGCTAACTTTTTTTATAATTTTCATATTTTTTATTTATTATCAAAGTTTCAGGCAGTTTTTAATAGACATTTCAGATTAAGCTTTTACATGCTTGGCCAGGCATTTTTCGAGAACTTAAACAAAGTCTTTTAATACCCTTTTT